ACAAAATCCACGTACTTTGCTTCGACTCCACAATATCCGGGCATGAGTTACACTTCGGGTCAAGGTACTCGAGGACAGACAAAATAACTCATGAGCAGAAATGGGGAAGACAGTTGTGTCGTAGAACATGCGGCATCCAATCCGAACAGATGTTCGATAGCTGCGCTAAACTTTACTTACGCCTAGCTCTCCGCGGCTAACATGGATGGAGCAACTGGGCTGCTCACACAGGTCATACTAGCTTCGTCAGGTGCTCATAAGTCCCCTAAACGGCGAAGGCAGGATGTAGAGTAAGACGCCACGAAAGGTAATCTATAACCCCTTGCAGTGGAAACCCTAATGACCGCTGGGTTTTGTTTATTTGGCAGTGACTTAGGATTTCAGCCAAGACTGCGAGACCAACAATGACCGGTCACCTGGAAGCAATGAAACATAGAGCCTATCGTCCATTTTCCTAGGAAGTGCCAATGTTTGTATACGCTACGTGCAGGCCGCAACAGAAATCGTCGGAATTGCTTGACGTATGAACAACGTGACTATTGTTCTTCTTGGAATCTTGAAATCACCTGGTATTTTTAGATACGGTGCTGTTGCACCATCATCAGTAAGCCTATTCGGCACAAAGATGGCAGTCTCAATGTGTTTCTGGGTCACCGGATCCAGGTCTGGACGAACACCGGTCTTCAGACCTGTCGGCCTACTCAAAAGAGACATCACCTGTCAAGGACGGGCAGCATCGACAAAGGTGATTAACATTGCCCGGCTTCGTTGATCAAGTTTATGTCCAAGGCGGGCAATTTGCCTCACTTTCAACCCACCCTAACTCACGTCGAGGAGTCTGTCAATAGGACTATATGATATCTGGACGTTGCGATTGTAGCGTATCTAGTAAGCTAGAATTTGAAAATCATCAGGTTAAAATGCCTCTGATCTATTAAGGTTGGTCATGGTGAAAGTTATCCTAAGCCTCATGGGGGTTAGCCAGCTGTTGGTTTGTAGTAGTTGAACACATTTCCTTCGGCTGCTTCGTCATTGTTTGTGCTTGGCACGGCTCTTAACTGTGCAAACCTTCACGTGCTGAGAAATCTGAGTCATAGGTCGACACATCACAGGTAAAATATTCGTGTCAGGTGAAACGCGGCTGCCAAAATAGGAAAGTCATCGTGACGGTGAGTTTGCAGGGGTCAAGCAGGATGACTGAAACACGAGGGTGCATAGCGAGAGCTTTCTGTGCCAAACTTACAGAGCTGCTCTTAACATAATGATTCAGCCTGCACATGCACCTGATACTCCCCCGCATTTCCTGCGGTGTTGTTTCAGCGGTTCTTACTCAAAATCCGAATGAGGTCGCGTTGGACTTCCCGAAGTCGTTGAGAATGTTCTGTTGATAATCCTATACATAAATTGATGTAATGACGATGCACATAATAACTATAGTGTGTATGTCAGACGTGCGACACTTTTAGCACAGGCACTACAAGGTGATTGCTTTCGGCATCATAAAAATGGGGATGTATGCGGCGGCCAACTGAGGTGCACATGATGAGAGTAGGACTTCCACAATTCAGTCAGAAATGAGACTGAATGATACCTAATTTCCACAAAGTAATTTATGGCGCAGAGAGATCCAACAAGAAAATCTTGTTAGCACAGCAAGGAAACAACCAAGCAGCGGAATATAATTTTCGCGTGCTTCACTGAGTTCTCGCTCATCAATTCACATTTGGGCTTTAGGAGAATTTAAAAACCTGTTACTGTCCGACATGAGATGGCATACTTCGATTAGATCGATAACAAATTTGTACAAATTAGCAGCTTGCTTACCAGTGTATATTATTGAGCATGATAGCCTATACTACAGTCCATCTTGTTTCCTTTGCTTCGCACAAACATTTGTCACAAATATGAAGATTTTCGATGCATTAACCTTACCCGTGTGTTTTTCCCGTAATTTATATTGTTACCGCGCAGGTTAGCGTTCATGCAGGCAGTCATTTCCTACAATTTTTTAGCCGTCATCGTCCTTAACTATACGTAAACTCATGTTCTATATTTAAAAGGGACAATGGTAGGGTGGCGTTGTATATTTAGTGCACAGGTTGGTTATGATTAAAAATAAAAATAGCCGCAATCGAAGCTCAGTAGTAGTACCTGACAGGTTATAATTGTCCACATGCGACATTCACTTTATTAAATTTGATTCATCCTTTCGAGAATCACCAAGTATAATTGTTCCGTATGTCACTAAAACCGGCGATCCAAATAATGCACGTGGGTGGCTAGGATTATTAGATCAGAAACGATGACAATGACCGAGGCGTCTAGATTACTGGTTGTGACACAATGCGGCTCATTCCCCGTTGCGTTATATATTGCTCTGCAGAGTGACAATATCACAAATCAGAAAAGCATATCAGCTGTGAGTAGCAAGTGTAGCGTTTGTGCATTTTCGAACTTTAGGTAGGCATCTATTCGGTCTTAACTTCAGACCGATAGGCCTATGTCTCGCCAGTAGAGGTTGCTTTCCACTAGGATGCAATTAGGAGGCTTTGACCATCCAACCGCCATTGATTGTTACAGAGAGAAGATTCGCAAAAAGTACAATTATTTTCACCCCTAATGATGATGTATAATCTCATACAGAGCAACTCAATATGCGACAATAATTGAATGTGGACCCATAAATCTCGTAGCTTTTCTCAAAGTTTGATGGTGCAAATATGTTATGGTCATATGTCGCCACACAAGATTTGTTAAAATCCGGAACAAACGTTATCGTAACTGTGCAACTTGGCTGCAAATCGATCTGTCTCTGAATTAGGTACACCAATTTCTAGTTACCAATTTGGTCCGGTACGCGGTCTGTAACAAGAGCACGCTATCAGAGCTCGCGTACACCTATCTGAACTGCACACAAAGTCGTCGTTTCGAACTGAGCCGATCACCAAAGCGCACATGGCCATTTGAGTGCTTCAAGTCCTGTGTTCCACTTTTTACTCAGTGATTATAAAGGCTCATGCTTAAACAAATCGAAAGCCTTTAATATGCTTTACTCAGCGGAACACATCTGAAATGAACGAGGAACGAGCAAGTTCCTCTCACGACGAGATGATTAGTATATCTCTAGCTCAGAGCGAAATACCCTAGACCATCAGGCTGAACTGATACTGATATAAAAATCACGTTACCCCAACCAAGGTCGGCCGGTGGCCGAGTGGTCTGCACGTTTGCTTTGCAACCATAAGGTCACAGGTTCGTAATCCGCGCAGGGGTGGGCGTCCTCGCGGTTTACTCAGCCCGCGCGCGACTGGTGGTGGCTGCGCCATTACGTCGTACAGCTGACACATTACAGCCATGATCGTGTACTCCTACTACTCGCTGCTTGACAAAACCTTGCACATAACTGCAACTGGGATCAGCTTTTTTCGTGAGACGACTTTTCGGCTCACAACGATTACCACTTTGCTACTTGAAGGATCGGACACATGGCTTTTGGAGCAGAATTATTAATAGATGACAATTGGGTTACACACTTTTTTGCAGGCTGTACACTCTTTGGATTGTTACGCATGCCTGAACTTGATATAAGACCTTGAATGTCGTCACTAAAAGGATTTGAACCGTAGGGTTCAGAGAAGACAGAATTATAGCAATCTGCATTTAGTAGATGGTCCAAATGAATGAGTGCCAAATACACCGCCTAAACCGACTAAGGAGGAAACGCTTGAGAGAAAATACACCAGCGACAAAATGATAAAGCTTCATCAACCTTGCCGAAAAATTCTTCAGCCTGAACTAATTTCTGATCCCGATTCTTGTTAACAAAAGTTTCTGACACTCTACTGAGTCTTCCATATCGGTTATACAGTGCATTTGAACCCTGATTTTAGCCAGGACCTTCCACTAGTGAATAGAAGAAAAAGAAGGCCATTCGAGTATGCTTATCCATCAACAGCAAAAATGAACTAAAGGGAATGCTCACGAAAGGTAGCGACCGATGTTCCCGTTAGACGTGGTGTCCCGTTTCACAAAGGTTCCACTGGAAGGAACTATAGATTATTTATGTGACTATACCTTGGTACATAGAATCGACATCGGCATCCCCACAGGAGTTTTAAATTAGTTCTCGCTGATATGTATCCAAAACATTCAGTTCCAGGTTAACGGAAAATACTATGAGAAAATAAATGGAATGACAATGGGTTCGCTATTGGGGGCCACTCATCTCGGGCCTCTTTATGGGTAAGCCGGAGAATAAGCAACTGTATTAATCTACCGGAAACTTGGTTTACCACGGTCGCTACTTAGAAACACTTATATTGTGTCGCGGGTAGCCAGGTGCGCACTGACACACTGTTAGACAATTTCAACCGTGCACATGACAATATAACGTTTATCATCGAGCATTAGCGCAACAACTGTATGGCATTTTTAGAGGTCCAGTTTAACAGGAGGATGGAGGATACAATCTAAAGGAGCGTTCACGGAAAAGCAACATGGAATGAACAGTACATCAATTTCCCTAGTTTCACTCTAATAAGGCAGAAACGAAATCTCATCCGTTATGTCACCTGATTTGACCTTGAGTTGGCCAAACATTTAGTTACCTTAATTAGAAATTTCGATTCTTTTTGGTGGTTCGGTGTTGCTCCTCCCAAATGCCCCTTGGATTTCGATCCCTTTCCTCCATGATTGCATTTGATTAGTGTTTTGTTTAACCCCTAATATCGTGGTTTGATAGCCTGAAGTTGGACCACTGAAAACGAGTTCGTTCGCCAACTGTCACTTTTGATGTTAGTTGTATTTGTTGAAATACCATTGAAAACCTGCTTTTAACGAGTTAAGTAAAATTTGAACTACTTACCGTTTGTCAATAGTTATAAAAATCCAAAGGTTGTCATTATCATCACCTGTTAGCAATTGAAACTTCCGGTTGCGCTTTTACTCACTCCACAAGTTTGCACGATATCGCATCACACACCATAACTTTCTTGTATCAGGTGCTAAGAAACCTCTTTGTTCGTATACATGAGAAATTCTACCGAAATATCATCCCCTGGGATGACCACTGGGACCACAACCGCAGAGATGGACAACCCACTGGACCACATGATATCCTCAAGTGCTTTGCTTGCCGCAGTGGAGAACGCCGAGGTATCGCCCCCCTTAATCATTCTGCAGGGAGCAAGTCGAGAGCATCGGTGACTATGAGCGCTTCACCTGTGGCATCCAATCTGAACATGGACGCAGCAGGCAGTAGAATGAGCAGTCCTAACGGACAACAGTGTTGCAAAAAAAGAAGTACAATTGCGGGCTCAAAATAACAGTTATAGGAGTGGAATTAGGCGATGAAGTACACTGGGATGTTAACTTATCCCACTTGAAAAGCATGCGATTGACACTTCCTTTAAAGAAAACAAAATTTTGTTCTTGCATATACTGAAACATTTTCCCCATGAGTTGCCCCCCAGAAAAACAACCTTATCAAAATACTTTTGCACGTCGCATTCAAGCCTCAAATAGAACAACTTTGCATAACGAAATACAAGGAGTGTTTTAGTGAGGAAACTTTTTCTACTGTATTTGCTAATTTACGGAGCATATAGGCAGGTAAATGCCATTATCACTTGCAAAGTATTTCAATTCCCTTTGGGAAATATTGCAAAATGGATGCCATCAATACGTTGGAACTAGCAATCCGCCCGTCTGCTTTATTCCAACTAATATACCCTCCGGTCGCAATGATTGAGTGTAAAGCAATAATACCAAGTCATGGGACCTCGAGGAAGATGTTTACTTGAGATTTTTCCAGTATATTTGAGCCAGATAGAGTAAAGCACCCAGCCGTTTCAGACTGTAAGTTTCACAGTTGATATCAGAAGCTTACCTGCAATCATTTCCAAAATTACCCGAAGACCGTTTAGGTTTTTCGGTCATCAGCAGCTGAGCGATTTCAATTCCACGTGAAAGCTTAGAACCCTAGAGCTTGCGCTGTTGTGGCACTGATTAACCCCAATGGACTAATTCTGTGGTTGCAGTGGCCAGCAAACTTGCAAACTCAACTGTGGTATTAATTGTTGGATGTTTGTGAGAAGTGTATGGCATGGTGGTATGACAACCCATGCTCCATAGATATACTCGTTGCGAAGTTGCGGGAACGTTGTGGAGTATTAACACCATCGCCAGTCAGATGTTCACACCCAACATTGACTGTCCCTACATGTGCGCGTGTATGTCTGCCTATCGACCACCCACTCTCCAATGACTTTACCTCTGCCGCTTGATCGATACTACCAGCTTGGTGTGCTCTGTTGGCCTTGCGTTGTTTAGCTGCGAGACATCATTACCGTCGTAGATTAGCGTTAGATCCGCTTTTGTAGACTTGAACCGCGGTCAAGTAAAGTACAAATAAACGGTATGTATCCAACTAAGGTGGTGATCTAACTTTAACACATATGATGGAGCGATTGAGCGGCTTCGACCGTTGTCTCCCGTTGTGTAGCCATTCCAAAGGTATCCAGCAGGAGGTGCAGCGTCAGGCGTACGGGATAGCTGGCTGGCGTGGAGGTTTCTCCGTGGCGCGGTCGAAGTTGATTGCGGTGGCGAACCCAGGTGTCTTCACCCACGGAGACATCATGCAGCATGTCACCTCGCCTGGCCGTCACTGTTGCTTTGATCCAGCGAGGATAACCTGCTCGGTAATAGCGAGCGTAGAGCGGGGCTCCAACGAGGAATTCTTTGTGCTTGGTGTAGGCACCAGAGTGACTAGGTGGCTTCTCAGTTGGAATGAGCGCTTCGTTAGTTGTGCATAGCATGCAGTCCATCAATGCTTCAGATGCTCACTGGCCTCCTGGCTTAGCTGGATTCGGTGTGGATCGGTAGGAGAGCAGGAAGGCCTGAAGACACTCATCCACGGTCCCCTCCCCGCGAGATTTCAAAAGCGCTCTCTTGAAGGTGCCGACAAATCGCTCCGCTTGACCATTGGATTGGGGATGGTAAGGCGGTGTGCGGAGGTGTTCGATGCAGTATCGGCGACAAAACTCTTCGAAGATGGGTACTATTGTCGGACACAAAAACCTTGGGAAGGCCATGTTGACTGAAGCTTCGTTGGAGACAACCCAGAGTGGCGGATGCCGTTGGTGGGTTGACAGCGACCACTTCTGGCCATTTGGAATAGGCGTCGACCACGACCAGATATGAAATGCCATCGATAGGACCAGTGTAGTCAACGTACACTCGAGACCACGGTTTTGCTGGAGGATGCCAAGAAACCGGTGATTGGTGTGGTGGCATCTTTGAGGCTTGTGGACAATCCTGGGACACGCGGGCGGACTGACTGTCTTTGTCGGCGGTTCTGTTGTTTGGTACTGTCGGAGAATGTACCGCATTGCAGATGGCCCGAAGAGGAAAATCTGCCAAGCCAAGGGTTTCGGTCCATTCGAGACCAAGCATGTTAAGCTTCGCCTTTGTAATGTAGCAGATCGCATTGAACGTGGCGCCCCGGAAGGAGACAGAGCAGTGCAGCTGCCCAGTTAGCTGCACTCGACCACCACAAGCGCTGGTGGCAGATTGGAAGGTTGGATCGTACGGTGGCTTGCCAAGGGATATCCAGAGATCCCCGGAGATGATCGTGATGTCCGACGCAGTGTCCAACTGCAATCGGACCGACTGACCATTGATCAAGACGCCGACGAACTTTCTCCGATCCGCAGCGTTGATTTGGAACGTGGCCAGCAGGCTCAGGGAGCTGCCAACCGGACCAGGTTTGGGTGTGCGTCTGGTTCGGGACCTCTTCTTTGGGTCGCGGGTGGGGGCCAGCCCAGCTTTGGCTCCTTGGGAGATGGAGGATGGCAGTAACCATCCCGGTGCCCCACCCTGCCACAATGTTGACAACGATGCTGGCGGAAATTGCAGTCGTGGTGGAAATGCCAGACACCACAGAATCGGCACGCGTAGGGTGGGGACTTCGCTTGGTCGGATTGGGTTGGGCGCTCGGACGATTGCGCCCTCGGTGCTGTGACTGCCTGGACCATACCAAGTGCGGCGGCGTTCTGGATCATTGCAGAATCTTGCTTCAGGTTGAGCAGCGTTTGACACTCCTCGGCCAGGTTTTGGAGTGTGACTGAGCTATCCATTTGTAGCTTGGACAGGAGGCGCGTCTGGATGTCGGCATCATGTGGAGACTGGAGGCCAGAGACGAAGATAAGGCATTTGAATTGGTGCTCGGTGAGCGAACCCAGTTGAAAACGTTGGCCTTCACGGTTGACCACACCCGCGTACGTGATGAAGTCGTCGGCATCACGTTTGGCCAGCTGCAGACGCTGATAACGAGCATTGAACAGAGAGGACTGCTCGCCAAAAATCTGTGACAAGGTTCGGACCGTCTCGTCAAAGGTAACGTCGCGTGGGTTCCTCGATAAGATGAAGTTGGTATAGCGCTGGTGTTCGAGCGTACCAAGTTTGCGCAGAAGCAGGCGGACCTTCCACGCGTCGGGTTGTCAAGCCAAGTCGACGGTGAACAGGTCCTCGTACCGCTTGTACCAGGATTCGAACGTTACCCCGGCCTTGGCGTCGTACAGGAATTCACTGGCGCCACTAACCACATGGTCCATTGACTGAGAATTGGCGCTTGGACCTGCATGAAGGGAAGAACTGGAGGGCTTTTCGGTTAGCACGGACATCAATTTAAGCTGTTGCTGCAGCATCAGTTTTAAATCGGCGTATTCGTCAGTCATGATTCGTCGACTCTGTCGCCACTGTTATAATTGGGGGGGGGGGGGAACGCCGCCTCTGATATGATTGCGGAATTGCCTGATAAGATTGTCGCTCGCACGGTTGGAGCATGCCTACGATGACGACTTGTAACGCTGGCCACGCGAACGGAGTTGCGCTGACCTGATGACGCTAGCTTAGCCGGTGCGACGGAAAATTGAGCGAGCGTGTGAACGATCCTAGCCGCATGTGTTCGGATAGACGCTGAGCCCTCGGAACGGACGCACACGAGAGGGGGTTACGATAGACACGAAGGCTGGCCAGCTAACGACTCACCCACAATCACGCGACCCGACCGACCCCCAACTGAGGCGAAGAGAAAGAAAAGGCAAATGGTCCACTGTAGGCTCTTTTATGACCAACAAAGTGCGATCACAGCCAGTGCTCTGGGTTATTAACTTAGGGAAAACAGTCACCACGAAGAGGTGGTAGTTTGCAAATGAGCATTGTCGAACGGTGTGCAGTTGGGCCGCCTCTCGGAGTGACTGAGCTCTGCTGCGTTTTGGGGAGGAATTGAACCTCGGTTTCCACAGCCATTCTGCCGGGGTTTCTGGCGTGTTTTTGCGGGGATTTTTGACGGGCCCGCAACATTAAGATTAAATTCTAATACCGACAAAAACAAATAATGTTCTTACCTGAATACCCAGGACAGTAGTATCGTCAAAAGATAAGAGTAGGAGTAACCTATCGTATGGTTGACTTCTGGCCCCGTACCGGTTACTGATGCTAAGAAATTATTCTTGCTCCCGTGTTATACACTCACCCTTAGCAAGCCACAGCTGCTGTAGTAAGTTAATGGTAACCGGATAGCGGTCGCATGCCGTCCTGTTACCTATCTCCTACGGGAATTGTTAGATAGGAAGGTGAACAGAGGCTTAACGTCATGTTTCTTGTAACATTTGAAAGGCCAACCGATATCTGTCTAATGTTTCCTGAGACATCCAGTTATTGTGTTGTTAATATACGTACCGCTGAATTGTATAAGAGACGATGACATCCTTATAGTCTATGCAATACAACTCTCAAAGAAAACACTGTCATCAATCGCGACGCGACAGAAACGGATCGAAAATTGGTAGTTCATGTTGTGTTCAAATAGTTCGATGTGCAGGGAATATTCTTTCGTCACTTTTATTCAGTATACCAGAATGTAAGTAGTTTTCATATCACTTACACGGAAATAAGTTTCATATGAAAATATGTGAGTTATATTTGGCCATGAAATTCGAAACAGATAGGCAAAGGAGATCTATTTTATTGGGCGATCCTGAAGTGTGGATATCTGCTTACGAACCAGAAAGCGAGCGAGCTAATCAATATTTTGATCAACACTAGTATTCCTATGCACATTAAGCGATTGCATGAGATATCTGTTGTCCTTTTAACCTACAAATCGGTCATGGATTTCGAACAATATGTACCTACCTCGGTTCAATTTAGGAAGCAAAGTCGGAATTGAACTACGGTGCTATCTTACAAAGCATTAGAGGAACAAGTTAAACAATAATCTTAACAGTATCCAAACCGTAAAACATAAAACGATTATTTTCTTAATATATAACTAACTGATAACGAGGCCGAATCGAGACGCCAGTCTACTAGAGTACAACCAGTCGCACAGCCACTTATAAGCTTTTCGTTCACACGCAATTAAAAGCAAGTGAATTGCTAGTCCAGCCCACCAGTCCGCGACATAATTGTAAATGTCTGAAGAGAGCTTAAAACTGCACTCAAATACACGAATTTATGACAGATTTTACACGCTTTAGTTCAAGCT